AAAGTAAGAAAACTATATCAAGGGAACCCATGAAACCCAATACAAATTTTTACATTTTATTTTTAAACCAAAAACGAGCATTTCAAAAACAACAAACATTTCTGCCATTATCACGAAAATTTAAAATTTTTTACAGCCAAATGTACTTAAACAATTTTAATATTCATACTTAATGCTTTAAAATGTTATAATTTTAAAAAAAGTTTTAATATGTGCTTTCAATAACAATAATATTATGTTTTACCTACTAATATAATTTATAATAATTAAATATGAACAATAAAATAAATGCAATGTTTTCAGCAATAACTAATACAACTTACAGCATTAGATACTTATAGTAAGATAAATAATTATGATAGCAGTACAGTTATATCCTGAAATATAATATATATTAATTAGTAAATAGTAATATACACAGATAGGTAATCTTCGCTCATAATCGTTTTTTGTTTGTAATGATTCATTATTAAATTCAGCATTAGTATAACACATAGATAACAGTGACTGATATTCAATGATGAGGAAATATTCTATTATAATTCTAATGGAAATATTGTACCTACTATACGTCTATACAACGAATCAGTTACCAACATTTCCTATTTTTGTTTGTGGTGCATGTAGGCTACGAAGTAATATAGTAGGTACCTATACCGTATACATGACTGACTAACTTTTAACCTATCAGAGATCCATAAATTATACAAAAAAGTTTGTACCAATTGGTCCAATTCTGTTATAATTTATATTTTATATGAATACTTAATATACACATTATACACATTTTAAAATTATTTTTGAAATTATATCAAAATAATGAAATAAATTTGGTATTATTTCACTTGATTCCATCATTATTTGTACACAATAAAATAATACGTCATTTTTTTAAAGAAGATTAAACAATTAATTTAAATATTTATTGAATAATGTGGTACTTACGTATTAATATAGCTTTTAACTTGTATGCGCAGTATGTCATGAAATCATTATTAAAACCAAAATTAAGTCTGAAGTTTATCTGGTTGTGTCCTTACTCCTCTAAATTTATCAATTTATAAATATTTTTACTTAAAAAAAAATATTATTTTAAAAGGTGGACAAGTGGTTACCGCTCTGCTGTACAGTAGTTGTAATGGATGTGTTATATATTTAAATACAATGATAAACCATTGTATACGAAAAACTATTCTGAGCAGTTAACGTAGTCTTTACAATAGGTATTATTATTTTTTATTCGTTGCCTATAGTGATAAACAAATCGCTAGAAATTTAAATCCCATTTTTAGTGGTTTTTCATAATTTTTCGGTAGTTTTTTTTCTAAAACTACTTAGAATTTTCAATTTTGACTTCCTAAAAGTACCAACTAGGTTAACTTTTCTATCAAAAAAGATGCTGATCTCAAAAAAGCATGCTTAATATCCAAAATGTTGATGAAAGACAGTAAAAAAAAAAAAAACACATCATTGTAAATACATTCTTTCGCTTAATATATCAGATAATTAATCAGCTTTTTTAAAGTTTCAGGAAAATCAGAAAACAATTTAAGAATACTCGTAACAGGGATTCTTACGCAAAACCAGTTTTCGATCAAAACGATTTAGTTTTTCTGGTGTAACTCTAAAACTAATAACCACTTAGATACTTTATTTATACTTTAAACAATTAGTCATGACAATTTTCATGCATGATAAATTATTTAAATTATTTTTACTATTTTTGGGCTACCAATTTAAAGGCATGGTAAATATTTGATTTTTATGAGATCTTTTAAAACTATTTTAGATAAAAAAATTTTGTTTCGTCGAAAAACTTGAAAGTATAATTCAAGATTCCTCTCAAGTTTTTTTATCTTGATCAAAAAAAAAGTAATCAGAAAGTTTAAGATGTAAATCCTAATCTGAAAATTACTTTTGTTAATTTTTTAAACATGTTATATAACAGTATATACCATAATTAAAATTGTATGGTTAAAATTACAACCAGAACTTAGAGACGTATATTGTAATTTAATACAATATGTTTACAAAAAGTATATGACTGGTTAGTTTAGCCTAACCTAACCATGATTGACACAATGGCACTGGATAAAATTAATTAAAATATTTAACAAAAAATTCAATGATGATGGAGTGTTGTGTCTTTATGATCCATTAATGTTTCAGCTATTGTTAGAACTACAAACAAAAATTAGAACTAAGTTTTCAAAAAATTGTGTTGAAAAAAAACCAATATTTAATAACCTAAACCCAACCTTTTTCAACGTACGGGCCACATTCAAAATTCATATTTATATTATTTGCCGAACATACTACAAGCTTTTTTTGTACAATCTATTAAATACATTAGTTAATATAATATTATATTTGTTCACTGAATATTTCAACACTAGTCTCTAGTTAACAATTTATTTTTGTCATTAGAAACTACAAACTAATAAGATATATTATAATTATTTGTAATATATAAAATTTTATCTTTTTTCCTTGTAACATGGACCAGCCGACTATTATTTTCGGAGTTGGTAAATTGCGTCCCCCGCAAAAGGTCATAGTCATGTACTATGTAAATTGCGGAGCATGTACTTTTAAAACATACGTAAATTGCGTCCCGGGTATATTTGAAATGTACATAAATTGCGTCCCAGGTATATTTGGAATGTACGTAAATTGCGGCTTGGGATTTTCCGATTCCCGTAGGCTGTACAATTTAAAGATAAGTATTAATCTTTAATTGATCGATGTGGATAATAATATGATCACTAATATAATATTACTAACAGCCTGTGTGCATTTGATGGAAGATATTACGCACGAGGTTTTACGTTGCTCTACGGTTTACATTTTTTTTTTCAATTTTATTCAAATTTTTTTACCAATATCTATACAATTATATTGACAGTCCAAAGTCTGAAAAATGAGAAGGAATATATTGATTTTTCAAAAAAAGGCTTAGACGTAATTATTACTTATGAATAAAAAATATTTAGGTAGGCATACATACAAAATTATACACAGGCCACAATTTACGTATGTATAAAATATACAAAGGCCGCAATTTACGTATGTATAAAATATACAAAGGCCGCAATTTACGTATATATAAAATATACCCGGACCGCAATTTACATAAAAAAATTAAGAATGGGACGCAATTTACAGCGACCCATTATTTTATTTAAACTAAAATCATTTCATCATAATATTATTTCCCCCTTGTAAAAACAATCGTCTACCACCTATAATTCAAACATTATTTCATTAGTTTTTTTTTTTATAAACGACAATATACTCATAAATACAATCACGCGAGCCGACGTCGATTCACCAAAACGTCTGCAGAATGCGAAAATACCTCTATACCTATGTATAGCAGCACACGACGTATACGCAGTCAGGTATGTAGTCGAGCGGTTCGTTTAGCACAAAAAATTATTTATCGATTTCTTTTCAAGTCAACATAATATAATATCATATTATAATATTGTATTCACAGCGATATGTGGTGGGTTCACGAAAGCAGCTGGGTACACAGAAAAAGCGAAATAGTCACCAAAGCTCGAAGTACAAAAGTTAAAAATCGCAAGTCGTAGGACTTCGTCATCCAATAGTTCAGTCTTGAAAAAAAAAGAATTCAAAAAAATGAATAGCGTACTCATTCATTTAAGCAACATTAATTTATGAAATGTTCCCTGTTTTTGTGGACGCACGATGTATAAACATTGTACGATATGCACACGAAGAACAATGTTTTGGAAGGGCCCGTTGTTGTCCTCTCACGTTTGTTATATCGTATAGGTACGTGTCTGCCATCAGCAATGTTGCCAGAAAACTTATAATTTTTCAGGGCAAATTCACACCGCAGTAACATTGCAATATTCTTTATCGGAAATAATTATAAACACTGCATTTTTCCACTTTAAAATTTAGAACAAATAATAAAAAAATATCGGAGTTGTGCGTATTACCTATAATATTTTACGCTTCAGCAACTTTACACTATTTTTATCAGAGCTCGTGGGGCTTTATGTATACAGGGGAAAAGGGATTCGATACAAATTTGTAACTTCATCCTCTGAATCCCGAGTTTAAAAAAGCGGTTAAGTGGACATCGTCTTCTGTACAGTATAGGTTACAAGTGGGTCACTGAAAATGGATGGTGTTAAATTTGAATTCAATGATATAATATCATTGTACTTATACGAAAAACGATTCTGAGCGGAGACGGTTTATCAGCTTTAGGATATTTTTTATTATATTCATATTGTTATTATTAATACTGTAGACAGTATGATGATATTATTTTTATATGATAATATACTTTGGAAATTTCAAGTAGATACCCACGAATAACATTTTTAAATTACAACACAAAACTAAAATCATTATTCTTCATTTAAATATCTAATTTCGTCTAAATTTGAACTTAAAATACATATAAAAAAACTGTATTCTTTTATAATTTTTTTAGATTTTTTGGTTACAGTATGAACTTTTTTAAACTTTTAATCCTTAGCTATAAAAATTCAACATTTTATTAATTTTCAATTTAATAAAATAGGTTAACAAAATTTGAAATTAAAATGTATTTTTTTGATGAAGGTAGACAAATTTATGAGAAATCTTGTATTACGTTTTTAAATCTATTACCTAGATAAAAAAAATTTTAAAAACGGAATAATTGTATAAAACCAACTTACGAACACAGATAATATTATTACCGTCATAATATAGTTTAATTTTCATAATAGGTCGATTAACCTTTCTGTAATTATTTTAAAATATTACATTCAACATTGTAATATGTTACCATGGAATTTAAAAGATTATTAGAATATTACATAACTATTTTTTTTATAGTGACGTATTCAGTTTGTAACAGTCCTTTGAGTCTTTGAACGGTGAGTACCTATGTGTTAGTTATTAATAATATATTATTATGTCCCAACACTGAACAATTTAACAGTATTCCATTTTTTTTCTAGATTTCTAGAACCATGGTCTTATTTTTATTTTTTATTTTATTGTTATTGACGGTTGTCTCCGGATCAACCGTCGAGGATATTTATGACGAATTGATACAGAATATAGATAACGACATCAAGTACTTAAGTATTCAATTACAGAACAATGTGCAATTTGAACCACTGAACAGTGAAGAATCTGTGGACCAAGTTATAACCAGGCCACACCCGGCGATTCTAATGTACAGTTCTACAAAGTCACAACTACCTAAACCAATGGTCCTCACCACCAGGCCTCAGCCAGAGAAGTCCTTGGACGTAGGTTTCACCTGGCAGCATCAGCTGTCACCCAGGTTTAGTGATTTTACCGGGTCGCTGTCACCAAAACCAGAAGTCCGCACCACTGGGTCTCAGCCAGCCGAATCCGCGGACGTAGGTTTCACCTGGCAGCATCAGCCGGTACCCAGATTCCGTGATTATACCGGGCCACTTCCACTAAAACCAGAAGTCCATACCACTGGTTCTCAGTCAGCAAAATCCGAGTACGTAGGTTTCACCTGGCAGCATCAGCCGGTACCAAGGTTCCATGATTATACAGGGTCGCTTCCACGAAAACCAGTAGTCCGTACCACTGAGTCTCAGCCAGCGAAATCCGAGGACGTTGGTTTCACCGGGCAGCATCAGTCATTACCCAGGTTCCGTGGTTATACCAGGTCACAGCCACCAAAACCAGTAGTCCGGACCACCGGGTCTCAGCCATCGAAATCCGTGGACCGAGGTTTCACATGGCCTCATCCGCCAATACCTATGTACCATGAATTAACGGGTCGTAGCCCCCAAAACCAGTAGTCTATATCACCTGGTTTCAGCTAGCAAATCCGTGGACGTAGGTTTCACCTGACAGCATCAGTCGTTACCCAGGTTCCGTGGTTATAAAATTTCACAGCCACCAAAACCAGTAGTCCGGACCACCGGGTCTCAGCCATCGAAATCATTGGATCGATGTTTCACCAAGTTGCATGTACCGAGTCGCTGCAACCATAAGTTCATAACCCCGGATCTCGGCCATCGAAACCGTAAACAGAGGATTCAAATGGCCGCTGATGGTGATTATCATGTACCATGGTTCTACCCGGTCACAGCCACTAAAACTAGTCCGTATCAGCTGGTCTGAGCTAGCGAAATCCAATGACCGATATTTCACCTGGCTGCATCCACCGGTACCCATATACCATGGCTCTACCTGGTAGCAGCCACGAAAATCAGTAGTCCGTAGCACCTGGCCATTCTAAATGCAATTTATAGTACAATAAGTATTAAAATCTGTAACATTATGGTAGCAATTATTGATAAATTGTTAATATAAACTAGTAAGTACTAAACAATAAAGTAACGGCGCATATTATCGCTGAAACCCTTGAGAACGAGTTAATCGATCAAAGGTGATTCAGCAGTCACTGCAATTTGACAATGGTGACAAAAATAATGGCTATAGATTTTCGTATCTCAAACGGCCATGTCTAGTTATGTGTACAAAAAGCTCGTAACCTGAGATACAATAACATAACGTTAACGACATTGAAAGGAATAAGGGTTAATAACATTAAAATATTTATTTTTATATTTGCTATGCTAAACTGATGTGTTCAAATCGCTTAGTAGTAAGTACAATATAAATCATTTGTAAAACTGTTCAAACACTCCTGCTCTGGTTTTCGTTTATTTTTTCAATTTTCTGTTGTCATCGCTGCAAGACTCAAACAATATTGTGAAATGTTTGTATAATTGTATAAAATATTAATTGTATAATGAATGTTGTGGATGTTTGGTGAGCATCACGAGACCGAATTGATATAAAACAATATTATATATACGGTACCAAGTAACGGGCTTGAACGTTATAGGAAGATAAAATTTAATTAAACGAGAATGAGTACGATAAAAAACAAAATTATGAAAACATTTTAAACTTAAAATATATGCATTTCAAAACGAAAAAGCATAATATGCTATATAATATGTTATAATTATTATAACAAGCTATAATATCAATAGCCGAGTTACAGTGTTTTTCTGAGGACTAAAAGTTGAGAAAATGATTAACTATAAAAATTAAAAAGAAAAAGAGTGTCTGATGATAAATATGAATGGTTAAAAAGGCATACAAATACCTAGTGATACGTTGTTTAATGGTGTTGCAATTTCTTTTGTTAATCTATTGTTACAACAGCAGTTGAAATAAATTGAAAATACATAGGCACATTTTTTTTTATAAGCGTTTAAAGTTCGAATTTTGACAAAATTTATCAAATTTAAAATTTAATCATTATTTTGTAGTTAAAAATGTATAAAATGTTCAACTTTTATAGCTAAGAATTGAAAATTTAAAACAAGATTCCACGTAAATAGCGTGTACAAAACGAAAAAATCCAAGACTGTAGAGATTCTATTAGCTTTAAAAAATGGCTCTTGAAAAAAATGAATTTTTCAACTATTTGTTTTAAAATTAGATGTAGGTATGAAACAAATTAGAATTACGTGTATACCTATAGTCTATACAGTAAACATCCGTTATCTTTTACTAAAATAACACTTTAGGAAATTAAAGAAATTTATAATCGTTGTTTTTAACTTTTAAATTTAAACTCGAACCTCCGTGGTATTTTTCCGATTTGATGACTTACTATATATTAGTGCGGTAGAAAGAAATTTTCACACAAAAGTGGGCAAGTGGATACCAATCTGCTGAGCATAATATACGAAATACGATTCTGAGCGAAGACGACCTGTCAGTCTATAGACTATAATATTAGTACGTACTGAGTATTTTTTATGATATTATCGTGATTAAAGTATTTTGTTTTACTATTGTGAACTAGTACTACAGTAGGTTTAAGTATTTTGACAAAGCAAAACATTTTTTATCGACTATAATTTAAAAAAAAACTAATAAAATCGAAATATTCTCATGTCCATTAATAGTTCAAGATATTTTGAAAATTGTATAGTGTTCAAAGTACAAAGTAGCCACATTAGGCACCTATTAAGTGTATCAATTATTCAATCTACAGTTATCGTGTTTCTCATGAAAAAAGTTTATCGGTAGTCAAATCAGTAACGTATTTATGGGGAGGGGATATGGGGAATAGATCCCCTCCCTTACCGATGTTTTTCCATGTATTAAGTACAAACTGCTGCAATACTGTTGTTATTTATAATTTTGTTATCCTGTGGGCATGTGAGTGACATTACACAACATTTATTATTATTATATACCTTACGGCTTACATGGAGTAACTAACAAAAAGTGGCAATAGCACTAAACAAATTTTGATATCCCCCTCTTCAAGAAAATCCTAAATACGCCTCTGAGTCAAATGTTTAGTGTTTAAACAAATTTAAATGATATATCAGTTATTTCTAGACAGTATAGTGTACCTACAAGCCAGAATACTAATTGTAGGCAGTAGCAATAAGATATATTAATTTATACTTGAAACTACAAAATAATGAAAAAAATTATTTTTCATTCACAGTCCTCAACCTCAAAAAATATAAATAGGTACTGTCCTTTTTACTAAAAAATAATAAATTTGATACCTACCTAACCATATTATACAACATTAAAATGTATTACATTTAATAGACTTCATCGGGTTTAATATCAGTTAAGTGCTTTTAAAACTTAAAAAAAATAGGTTTCATAGGTAAACAATTAAAACAAATAATAAAATAAATAATAAATAAAATAAACTTTATACGTTATAAAATACGAGATTTGAGAAAAAATCGAACCTCGAGACGCATGTATTTATGCCTGTATATAGCGATACCTACTCGACGGCGGCGCTATAGGCCGTCGGCTTTCAGCGCCGCCGCTCCTCAACGGGACTCGTCTGTGAAAAAGTAGGGCCGCGCGCCAGCTATAAATTTAGCGGGGAACGCGAATAAGATTCAAACGGGGAGGGTAATACGACCGAAAGGAGCTAAAACTCGATTTTTTGAAAAAAAAAAAACGAAATCGAACTCTTCGACGCATATTATATTTAAGCCCATGTATAGTAATAAAGACACTGTCCGCTCTGCTAAATATTTTGACGGGGAACGCGAAGAAGTCTTCGACGGGGAGGTCCGAAGTCCGTAGAGGCGGTAAAAGTCGAACTTTGAAAAAAATCGGAACATTTTCGTTATATATGAAAAGACGGAAGTGATAGCAAAACGACGAAAAAAAAAATTTCAATTTTAACACTGCCACCGCAAATTAACCGGAAATGAACCTACGACCTACGAGTAACCTAACCTAACGCCTACCCTAAAAAGCTACCTACTGAGATGAACACTGGAGTCAAATCTATGACTCTTAACACGTAGACTGCGTATGTCTTTTTGCAGTTATCACCCAGTGCGTATGATAAAAGTAAAAACAAAAGAAATTAAAAAAAAAATATAAAGAAACTGCTCATAACGACAAACGACGTATGTATACATATTTAAAAACATGCGTTTAATCCACGCTAAATAATAATAAAATAACATTCAGCCACGCGTAGGGAATTTTAAACCATTTATTTGAAATGTATATTAGACGCCATATTATATGGCGTCAAACGCGTTGCTGAATGATACTTATGACGCCAATTGGCGTCAGTACGCAGTGAACGCGAGATTTGCGAAAACAATCGAACCTCGAGAAGCATATAATATTATATTTATGCCTGTATATAGCGATACGTAATCGGTACCTACTCTCGTTTCCGCGACGCCGCTCCTCTCCGGGACTCGTCTGTGAAAAAGTAGCGCCGAGCGCCGGCTATAAATTTATCGGGGAACACGAATAAGATCCAAACGGGGAGGGCAATACTACCGAAATGGGCTAAAACTCGAATTTTTGAAAAAAACTGCATAAAAAAAAGAAATCGAACTCTTCGACGCATACATTCACGCCCGTATATAGTAATAAATAGTATCAAGGACCGCTAAATTATTTGACTGGGAACGCGAATAGGTCTTCGGCGGGGAGGTCCGAAGTCCGTAGAGGAGGTAAAACTCAAATTTTGAAAAAAATCGGAGCATTTTCGTTAAATATGATAAGGCGGAAGTGATAGCGAAACGCCGAAAAAAAAAATTTCAATTTTAACACGGCAGCCGCAAATTAACGAAAATCCGGGGCACCGGAATCGAACTTACGACCTACGAGTAACCTAACCTAACGTCTACCCCACAGAGCTACCCACTGAGATTAAAACTGGAGTCAAATCTATAACTCTTAAGCAGCGTCACCGTGCACGCGAAAGGCGAACGCCGTTTGGACAGCCGTCAAAGGGCGTTTTAGCGGACGACCAGATCCGCCACCCTCGGACGTATAAAACGCGAGATTTGCGAAAACAATCGAACCTCGAGACGCATGTATTTATGCCTGTATATAGCGATACCTACACTTTACCTACTCTCGTTTCCGCTCGTCAAAGGTACTCGTTTTTGAAAAAGTGGGGCAGCGCGTCGGCTATAAATTTAGAGGGGAACCTTAAATAAGATCCAAACGGGGCGGGCGATACGACCGAAATGGGCTAAAACTCGAATTTTTGAAAAAAAACGGCAAAAAACGCAAGCGACGGCGGCGCATGTATCGCACGCCATATCCGCCGCCGCGGGCCCGCCGGGAAAAAAGTAGGGCTGCGCGAAGACTATAAATTAACCGAGGAACTCGAATAAGGTACATCCCGAGAGGGATAAAACTCGAAAATTTTGAAAAAAAAATCGTGAAAAAAGGTCAAAACCGTGAAAAGTGATAAGGAGGAGTGATAACGCAGCGACGGCTCCGCAAAAAACGATGCGACGCATGTATTTATGCCTGTATATAGCGATACCTACTCTCGTTTCCGCGACACCACTCCTCCCCGGGACTCGTCTAAGAAAAAGTTGGGCCGTCAATAAATTTAGCGGGGAACGCGAATAAGTCGTCGACGGGGAGGGTGTTACGACCAAAAGGGGCTAAGACTCGAATTTTCGAAAAAAACGGCAAACAGAGCAGTCATATAGTCGTACTATTTAACTGCCAGAATTTAATCAGTTCTATTAAATCTATTAGTTTATTAATATCGTTTTAAACAGTATTTATAATCTGTAGCAGTATTTTAACCTAACCAAATCGGAATCACCTAAAAACTATAATATATCGAGTAGGTACCTACTACAAAGTAATAAGTATACAATAGGCATGTAGGTTAG